AAACCCTCCGCCAGCCACAACATTGAACATCCCAAACCATAGGATCACTCGAGGGTACCCTCCCCAAGGAGGCACAACAGCATCCAACAAGCACGAAGAACGTTAGGATCCCATCCCCGAACCGACCTGAATATTCTACCTCGGTCAGACTGTACAGCATCCCTCGAAACAATTTGTTCAGAATGCGGCACGAGAAAAACTGCACTGCAACACTCCCGGAATAAACCCAGACACAGGCCCAAAAAACTTGCGCACCCCCCCATAGACTCGGACAAAGACCCGAATCCTGCAGTGCAGCAGAAACAAATGCACTGGACGACCAGTGCGGACTTTACAGGAAAAGGCGTCGTTTCCTGGAAATGCCCTGTGTCCTGGTGAGTCTGTGTCCTGGTTTCGGGGGTCCTAAGCGCTCGGGGGCACGCCTGCCGGCCACAAACGCAAGGAGGGACCCCTGGAGGCGTGACCCCTGGGCGCGCGACGTTCCGAGCGCTTTGTTTGCGATGCGGCTCCCGCCCGCTGGCGTGCCTCGGCTGGCACCCACCCCCCTGCCCCTACTCACACTCTTCATCTTTATCCTTCTCATCTATATATATATATATATACTCTCAGTCTGCCGCCTTGCCAACCGATTGGGACCCAACGCGGGCCCTTCCGTCGTACCATACCTGTTAAAACCAATACAACATCGGCGTGTTTCGTCTCAGCAGTGGGAACGCCGATCCCCCAATCAAAACACGCCCCGATTAGGAAGAGGTGCGGGGCCCTCTGACTCGCTCGACCGGGCTAAAGCGACCCCTTTCCTGCCCCAACCTCCCCGTGCCAACCCTCCTCCTCCTCCTCCTCCTCCTCCTCCTCCTCCTCCACTATCTTCCTTACTTGCGCAACGGCATCGGCCGTCCCCAGAGGTCGCCGCGTCGCGCCAGACGCGCGGACGACGCGGGACCGAACCCTTCCGGAGGCAGGGAGGAGGGAGGGATGACCGCCCACACCACCCTACCCATCACCCGAGGCCCAGAGAGGGAGGAGAGAGATCCTCTGTCTTCCTCTCTCTCTTCTCCCCTCCCTCCTTTCCCCTCCCTTCTCCCCCCTCCCATCCCCCCTCCCCTCCCGCCGGAGAGCCCGAGAGGCCCGCCTGCAGGAACGCCTCCACGCCCTGGTCCACCGCGGCCTGGGCCTGAGGCCCTCCCGGGCCCATGACGCTGGTGACGCTGGTCCTTCGCTGGCCGCGGCGCCGCCGTCGGCGACGCCGCCGTCGTCGGAGCAAGAGGAAGGAAGCCGCCGCCGAGACTCCGACGCACGACTCCGCCAGTACCTGCTCTCCTGCGCCGCCTTTCTGCGCTCAGGTTTTCCGCCGCACTCTCGCCCTCCGCCTCCGTCCTCCCTCCTCCTTCCATCCTCCCTTCCCTCCCTCTCCCTCTCCTCTCCTCCACTCCTCCTCCTCCTCCTCCTCTCCTCCTTCCCTCTTCCTCCTCCTTCCTTCTCCTCCTCTCCTCTCCTACTACTCCTCCTTCCCTCCCCTGCCTCCTCCTCCTCACTCCTCTCCTCCTCCCTCCTTCCTCCTCCTCTCTTCCTTCTTCCTCCTATCCTCCTCCTCCCTCCTTCTCCTCCTCCTCCTCCTCCTCCTCCTCCTCCTTCTCCTCCTCCGCCTCCTCCTTCTCCTCCCTCCTTCTCCTCCTCCTCCTCCTTCTCCTCCTCCTTCGCCTCCTCCTCTTCATCCTCCTCCTCCTCCAGACATCCTTCCCCTATCCTCCTCTTCCCCCGAGAGGGTGAGGGGGATGGAGGGAGAGAGATGGAGGAAGGAGCTTCCACTGAACTTCCGTGGGTCGGCTCCGCCCAGCAGGGCGATGGCCGTCCTGTTGCGTGCGCCTCCACCCCGCGGGGACCACTGGAGGGGGTGCACTGTCCCTCAGGACTTGGCCATAGCATGCTGGCGTAGGACGGGCGTACGGGGGGGGAAGAGAGAGGATGGAACACGAGGACGCGGACGAGGGGGGAGGACACGGGAGACTGATAAGGAAGGAGGGGAAAGGATGATGAGCAAAGACAGAAGGAGAGAGGAGATACAAGGTAGCGGAGATGAGAGAGGAAGAGGAGGAGGAGGAGGAAGATGAAGAGAAGGAGGAGAAGGAGGAGGGATGAGGAGGACGAGAAGGGGGAGAAATGAGAGAGGAGGCGGAGGAGACATGAGAGAGGAAGAGAAGGACAGATACAAGGCAGGAGGGCGAATATTGAGTCTGGAGGAGGAGGAGGAGGCCTCTTCCTTGTTGTGCTGGTCGCCATCGTTGTTGTCGTCGTCGTCATCGTCGTCGTCAGAAGGCGGAAGGGGGGAGCACGATCACCCCGCTGCCCCCTTGTCGTCCCTGGACATCGGAGCTCCAGGATTCCCGGTCGCTTCCCCGGGGGTAGTCTTGCAAAGAGGGGTATGGCGACGCCAATCCCCAACTTTGTGGGCCTTCCGACTGGACGGCAAAAACTTAAGCCCAACTCGGGGATATACGAGTGGGGGCGTTCATCTTCGATAGGGATGCGTCCAGATAGCCCCCGAAGAGTGTATCCCCGAGTTCCCCTCCTTGATCTCAGCTGCCAATTTCTTGCAGGGCTAACTCGGGGAGTAGGGGGCGAGAAACCGCCTGCGAACTTTCCATCCCGGTTCCGTTGGGGGCCCTAGACCGTCCCACAGAGGTCGGGGCTGAGGAGAAAGCGCCGGGACCGAGCAGCGAGTTCGCCAGAGGTCCAGGCCCCTCCCCCCTCCACCCCCAGGAGAGCCCAGAATCGAATCGACAAGTCGGATCGGCGATCGAAATGGATCGGATCGGCGGAAATCGGCAGCCGAGTCGGGAGAAGTCGAATCGGCGGAAATCGGCAGGCTAGTATGCCTTCAGCAAGGAATCGGAGTCCAAATCGGAATCCGAAGTCGAATCGAATCGGAATCGGAGGCCATCAAAATCGAATCGGATCGGAGGAATCGAAACGAGCCCTGCACCCCTGGGCAACAGGAGCGGCCTCTGGTGCGCGCCCTGCCAACCGCTGCGCGCGACGCGGCCGTGGCGGCCATGCGTGCTCAGGCCTGCCAACCGCCGCGGCGCGCTCCGGCGAGAGGGAGGCGGCCCTCACAGAGCGCCGGGGGCCCAGAAGGGAGAGGAGCCTTCTCCAAAGGGCGAAGACAGGAGGGATTGCCTGTAGGCCCCTGCCTTCGTAGCAGCCCCCTGCCTGTCTTCGGTGGCCGGACCCCCCGCGGCCCACCCCCCTGGTGCGCGCCGCCAGTGTCGCTGAAGGCAAACGTGTGTCACCGAAGACAGCAGCCTTGCAGCCAAGGCAAGATGATACGTTGCACTGGAGGCGGCTAGTGGATCTCTTTGCGTCACTGGCGGCGCTTGCTGTTCTGCCCTCAATGCAGAAACGAGTGGCCTTCCGACCTGTGTTGCCTTCGGTGAGCTCGTTGCCTCCTCAGCCCTCCCGCGGTCCCGCCCGCGGCACGCGTAGCCGAGAAGAGAATGCGAGGGGCAACGGGGGGGGGCAGAGGGCCTGGCGTCGCGGATGCGCGCGATGAGCGCCGCGGAGGGGTTGCGCGCGCTGCTCAGGTCCTCGGCGGCGGAAAGGGCACCGTCGGCTACGCGCAGGGCAAGAGCGACCCTGGGCAGGCCCGAGCCTGCGACGCTCTGGGCAGAGCAGGGCGGAGTTGGTCCCCGCCGCCTGTGGCTTCTGGGGGCCGGTTCCGCCCTCCAGCAGCGTCACTAATAACGACTCGGGATGGAACGCCGGCGCTGGGGAAGAGGTCGGGACTTCCAGGGGGTCCCGAATGGAGGCAAAAACATCGTACATGCTCACGCCCAAGCACGCCACGCATAAAACATACTGTCTGGAGTGACCTGTCTTCGGTGCGTGGCTTGCCGATCGCCGCGTGCGGCGCGGCCGTGGCAGCCTGCGTGCTTGGGTTTTTGGGCATGCCCCCCCGGAGGCGCAGAGGGTCTGTCGCGCGCAACCGACCCGGAGGCGGAGGCACCAGTCCCAGCCCAGACTGGCCAACGGCCCGATACGTTACAGTCGACCCGTTTCAGAAGGATCCGCGATAAGGATGCCAGAGCCTTGGACGCCCATTTCGAAGCTGTTCGAGCGGAGCGCGGCCTACGAAAGCGGCCACGGATGGACCGAGGAGGCAAGGATGCAAGGGTACCCTTGGGAAGGATGCCCATCCTTCTGATGCGGGTTGACTGTAGCGGCACATGTGAAAACCGGCCGAAGCAGCAGCGACATCGAAGTGGACCAAACCTGACGGAGCAAAGGCAGCCCAGATGGATGCAGCGGCGCAGCCACCGGCAGAATCGAGGCGACCGAAGGCGCCCGACTGCGAAGCGGCCGACCCGACCGAGCCACGGACACCCCTGCGGGGGCACCGCGCCCAGCCCAGGCCCCTGGGCGTGAGGAGAAGTCACGACGGGCGGGCCCTCGCGCCCTGCGGGCGTGGGAATCACCTGAGATCTTGCTCGAAATCTGGAAGCCGGCCGCAGAGACGGGGTCGAGAGATCCGGGAGCCCATGCCTCCGAGAAGCCGAGCCGCCGGGTGTCTGGGGGATGTCAGGCCCCACCTGGAACCAGGACGCTGCGGCCCAGGACCAGGGCTTTACACATTCCCAGAAGGAAGAGCGGAGCATCTTTCGACCCGCGGCTGCAGCTCTCCCGGGCGCGCCAGGGTGCGCTGGTCTGTCACAGTGCCCGTTCAGACAGAGGACCCCCGGAAGATGGCCCTGAGGACGGGCCCTCGGACCGCATGGATCGCCAGAATGTCGAAATCGCATCGGATCGGATCGGCCAGAGCCGACATCGAATCGGATCGATCGGATCGACATGGACCCTGATGTCGGGGATTCGGGGGCGGCCAAGAGGGGGGCGTCAGAGAGGGAGCGCAAATCATGGCCGGCGGCACTTGCGCGGCCCAAGGGGGGGCCGGGGACGTATTGACATAAGAAGTGGCGCCATGAAATCGGGGATATCATGGCCCCCGCCATGATATCCCCCCCTAGTCATCACCCCCCTCGCTGCCGCCCACGAGGGATGTCAGGGACGCACTGACCTGGGTCAATGCAAGCCCGTGACCGTCAGGCGTCGCGGGACCCTGCAGGACCCTGCAGGATCCTGCGAGCTCCTGCGCGCAAGCAGGGTCAGTGCAGCCCTGGCTCTGCAAAATTAGAAGATAAAAAAAACGGCAGAAGCGTAAACTTGTGGCGCTCCGCGCGGATTTCTTGGATCTGCGCCAGACCCCCCTCCCTGGCGCGCTCCGCGCGTCAGAGGCGGAGCGCGCCAGGGGCGGCGCCGGAGGCGCCGCCGGCGGGCCCAACGCGGATCCGAGAAATCCGCGCGGAGCGCCAAAAGTTTACGTATCTTCATGGCGTTGTCTCCTCTTCGAAGGATCCTGCAGGCTCTGCATGGGCCCCCGTCCCCTGACCCCCGAGGGGGGGCCAGGGTCCTTTCGGCCCGGCCGCCGTGCAGGAGAGATCCGCGGCGGGCGGCGGGCATCGTGGCCCCGCGGCGGGCCGCGGGGCCCCTGATGATGGGCAGATTTCCCACCACCACCACCATAGGTAAGACGGGGGAGAAGGGAGGATGGAGAGCTCCTCCTCCTCCTGCTCCTCCTCCTGCTCCTCCTCCTCCTCCTCCTCCTCCTCCTCCTCCTGGAGGAGGAGGAGGACGACGAGGAGGAGGAGGAGGAGGCGGAGCAGGAGGAGGACATTGCTGCCGTCCTCATCAGATGAGGAATCCGCTTGGGTCTGGAGCCTTCTGGGCACACTCCTTACCCAACGCCCCCACCGCAATCATCCACGTCAGCCGCCTGGGGCACCGACGTCCTGGAACCCCAGGGGGGTGGCGGACATGTGCACATTTCGGCCCCAGGGCCCGAACGGATCCATTGATCCATCGCTCGCCGAGGCCCCCGAAGACCCAGTCCCCCCGGCGGTGGCTCTGGATCACTCCCCGCCTCGGACTTCCAGGGCAAACAGGCCTGGCAGAGGTCGGCGCGTTTTGCGCCCCCAGGGGAAGCGCCGACCGCGACGGTCCCACCAGCAGGGTGGGAATCGGCCGATGGATTCCGCCAGCGCCCGCTGCAACAACAACAACAACAACAACAATCACTTTACCCGAACGCTCAGTGTTCTCACCAGTGCCAGGGTTTTCATGCGACGCCAGCCAATACCCCCACTTTGTGGGGGGGCAGTGCAAGCTCTACCAAATATCCACACGACTCTTCGCCACCACCCACACCCAGCTTCCCGCCCTATGACGTTCGGACACTTCACTTCGTGGCCTGCGGACGACCGTGGCTACTACACTGGCGTGGAGTACACACCCACAGAAGTTGTTAAGCCTACGTTCGTACACCCACAGAAGTTCTTCAGCCTACGTTCGTACACCCAATGGTTTTTGGAGATTTCGGCGTGCGCGCGCGAAGAAAAAACGAATGTGTCCCGCATGGTATTATTTGACAGGGATGATGGCCCTGGCAGGTGCGCAACCGTTGTCGCAGAAGTTCGAAAAAGTTGCTCGCAAAAGCCCGTTTGACAGAAATGTTTAAAAAGTGTTGGTTTTCCTACGAATCCGCAAGAGCGCGCGGGATGAGATTTTGACATTTGTTTGTTGAAAAACCATTGGTTTTTTGATGTTTTTATGTTAAAATCGCTCCGAACACTAAGCTTTTGGAAGGATTTCGTCTTGCGCGCGCGAATGTCCACTTTACCTTATTTTTTGCAAGGGATTCTTGAAATTTGATTATATTAGAACAAGAAATGTCATTTTATAGTGTTTTTTGCAAGGGAAAACGGATTACAACAAAACAACCGGATCTTGATGACATCGTATTACCTGAGGCTTCCTCACGAAAATGATGAAAATGTAGCTGCGGCCTAGGCGGCGCAGGGGGGCCGTGCACCAGGGGTCCCAACAATAATTATTCTTTAGAATTAATAATGTTCAACAACAACAACAACAACAACAACAACAACAACAACAACAACAACAACAACAACAACAACAACAACAACAACAACAACAACACGCGCCGTTCTGTCAATCATTGTGCAGGGCTCGACATCGACAGTGCTCCTCCTTTTCGTGATGTTTTGTCTCCAGGCCGCGTTTGCTGCAGGACGAAATTCAAACGGACACCGCCCACAAAATCGCCCAAACACAGTGTAGGTCGACCCCTGTCATGGTCTCCTTCGGCGCAGGGAGGGCCGAGAAGACGGCGGCTCAGACATCGGTGCCCGGACCCCCCCCGCTGCCCAAACGCTCCCGTTCTCCGAGCTGCGTCCCGGCCGTGGCGGCGAGGGGGCCCCCCGCGGGCCGACTCCCGGTGCCTCGCTTCGCCACCGTCTGACGCCGCCTCCGTGCGGGTGCGCCTCTGCTGCGCGACGTCGGCGCCTGCCGATGCGGTCCAGAGACCGAGCCGGCCGAGGAGGGCCATCCCGGGGCGCGGAGCGCCTCGCTCTGGGGCGAGGAGCCGACGGGGTTCCCATCGGGAATGATCGCGATCGACGGGTCGGCGATGTCGCGATCCCAGGCTGGAGCCAGGGAGGGGCCTCCTCTCCCACAGCCTCTTCCTCCTCAATCTTCCTCGTCCTCATCCCTCCCCATCCGCATCCACCCTTCCCACCCATCCCCCCCAGCCATTTTTGTTGCTCAGAGCGGGTCCACGGACCCCACAGGCTCCAGTGTGCGATCGCTTGGAGATCGTCGACCCGCTGGCTGGGGGGAATGGCTGAGAAGGGCGGGTGAGGAGGGGGGGACCAGGACGAGGACGACTGGGGGTGGGGTGAGTAAAGGACCCCAGGGACACACAAATGAATAGACACAAATCCACGGATTCCCCATATTGCACATATTGTCTGGGTTTTCGTCTCCCCCCACTTCCCATATATTTCTAATTTTTCTGGGGAATCGACGATTCATCATGTCTGTGTGTGTATGCGTATGTGTGTAATCCCTCCTGGGTGAGGGAGGAGGGTTGCGGATGAGAGGCGAGGAGCTGGGACAAAAAAGCGAGCTGGGAAAAGCTTGCTTGATTTTGATTTTCAGTACGAAGACAAACTGTGAAAACATGGCCTATCGATCCTTTAGGTCTGAGAAATGTTCAGCTAGAGGTGTCAGAAAAGTTAGCGCAGGGATAACTGGCTTGTGGCAGCCAAGCGTTCATAGCGAGGACGGCAACTCCCTGACTAACCAAAAAAGGACCCCTAATCCTTTGGGAGCGGACCTAAGTTGGGAGGCCCAAAAAGATTAGGGATAGGGGCTCCTTTCTGCAGATGTATCGGGACATCCCGCCCAGATTTATTATCCCTGATGCGACGACCTTTTGGACCAAACGCCGATCATCAGCCAATTGCTTGGACCTGTCGTGTGTTTGTTCGCGCGCTGGCCACGTGCCGTGCTGGCCGTCTGGAGGTAGGAAGACGGAAGAAACACGACAAAAAACATCAACGTTCTCAGACATCCGTACAGATTTCTCGGGCCCAGGGCCCACCACAGAAGTAATCCGCGGTCCTTCGGCAAAGTACGTAGGTATGCTTGTTGTTCTTCGAGGAAGACCTGGCGCGTAGTCCACAAAAATGAGGCTCGCCAGAGGCCAAGCGGAGGAGGATCTGAGCACTCTGAGGCCCGGGTCCCCGCGCGAGAGGACGATGCGCTGCACCTCCGGGGGGCACGACCTGGCGGGGGGGAGTGGGGGCGGCGGAAGGATGTGCCCACTGGCTGTGCCAACCAGGGCAGGCGAACTCAGTGAACTCGGACTCTGAGAGCCTTCGTGTGGAGTCCAGCGCCCTAGAGAACCCCAGGAAGCTGGACACATGTGGCTAGATTTCAGAAGAAGAAAAAACGTCATAAACATAAACTTTTGGCGCTCCGCGTGGATTTCTTGGATCCGCGCTGGACCCCCCTCCCTGGCGCGCGGAGCGCGCAAAGGGGGCCCAGCGCGGATCCAAGAAATCCGCGCGGAGCGCCAACAGTTCATGTTAATGCAGTTGGTTCTTCGAGATTTGCATGTGGAGCATCCACGCGCTGGAAAGACATGCGGAAGCCTGGCGTGCTCAGCCATACGACTGACGAGCACTGGAAAGACATCTGGCCCATGCGTATCCAGACCTCGCCCGTGCTGGCCGCGTCCTGCGGCACCCTCCTGGCAGGAGCGCGTTGGGTGATCAAGCTTTCCAGGATGGCTCTCAGAGGGCCACGATGTTCGCTTTGTTCTGCCCGCGATGGCCTCCAGTCCGACTGTGACCAAGACATCCGACGTCGTGCTTCTTCACACGATGGCTCCCCAGAGGTATGGACTCTGGACACCCTCTCTAGGAGGCCTCTCAGATGGGGCCGGAGTAGATAGGGTCGATAGATCTCGCGACTTCGGCGATGCATCGGCGACGTCGGCGTGGAGAAAAACGGACTCCACATCGAACCGCATCGGCGATGCATCGCCGATACATCGGCGATGATTCAGCGATGCAGCGAGCTCTTCCGACCCCACCCACTCGAACCCCATGTGGGAGGCCTAGCTGTCGGGAAACTGGATTTTCATCCAGGGTGTTGTCTTGATGGTCCCGGGGCCCAAGAAGGGTCCCCGGAGGCCGATGTCAGGGCATGGCAGGGCATCCTCCTCCTTCTTCTTCTCCTCGTCCTCCTCCTCCTCCTCCTCCTGCACCTTCTGCCTCCTCTCCGCCACCCTCGCGCACAACCGGCGCTGTGCCACGGGCGCACGCTGGCCAGTCGGCGGGCTCGGTGCAGAGAAGCCCTGGCCCATGCTACTGCGCCCCGCCTCCTGGCTTTCCTGCGAGCTGCTCCCCCCAGGAGGGGGGAGGGAGAGGCGAACGGGACGAGAGGGAGAGAATGAGGGTAAGGGGGAGGAGGGAGGATGGAGTGGGAGGAGCGAAGGGGGGAGCAGGAGGGAGGAGGGAGGGCAGAGGGGAGAGAAGGAGCGACACGACCTGGCGGGCCGATGCCTCCGCGCCGCCTCCCCTCCACACCCCCTCCTCCTGATGAGAAAGGGGGGGATAACGAGAGGCGGCGGCGGGGAGGGCTGGGTGAAGAGGGGAGGGAGGAGGACTTTCCACACAAACGAACCAACTCAACCAGCCACGCTTGGTTCTAAGATCGTCTGGTGTGTTGTCGCTGGCGCGAGCGAAAGCTGCTAAGACAGGGATGCGTCTGTTCAGCTGGATGTTGGCTGTTAGCCGAGAGGCGGTTCAGAAGATTAAATACTCATCGGAGTTGCGCGGGGGAGGGGGACGAGGAGGGGGAAGATGATGGGGAGGGATGACGGGGGACAGCCGAGGGATGCAGAAGGACACGAGGGACAGGGGAGGTGGGACGGACGAGGACGGAGGGGGGAGCGGTGAGGGCAGGAGGGGAGGGGAGGCGCGACGAGGGAGAAGGGTGATTCTCGCGTCTAGGTTGTGTCTACGTGAGCCATCCTCATGGCTCAGCCCTACGCGCTACCCTGCCGAGGACAACATAACACGAGGGCCGCACATCCCTAGACGCGCACTAGGGGTGCCCACAACTGAGGGGCGTCGCCCCAGCCCCCGTCCTTGCCGAAAGGCGCTGCGGCGATGGACAAATCCTGCGCCCCCTGCTGCTCGCGCGCGCCCGTGGCCTTGCAATCAAATGTCCGTGATCCTCGTGTCGAAGGCTATGGCCCAGGCATCCTCACGGGCATGCTCTGCAGCCTCCAGCTGCGCCGTGAGGTCGTGGTGGCGACGATCGGGGCCGACGAGAGGGGCGACTCGCCGAGGGGCGGCCATTACAGGTTACACGGAATCGCCCGGGAGCCTCGCCGAAGGCATGGAGCATCGGCGCCCCTGGATGCATGGGTTGCTCTCCCTTGGGCTGTTCGCCCTCGTCGTCGCCCCCGAGACGAGGGGGCCCCCGAAGGCTAACTGCCGCTGTCTCAGCGGGCCCTCCTGTGCGCCGCACGCCCCCCCGCTGCCGCCGCTCCGCCCACGGCTGGAGCGGGCCGCGCGCCGGGGAGGGCCCCCCCGTGGCCGCAAACCACTGCGGCGAAGGAGCCACCCGCCCTGAGCGCAGCACGCGCCGAGGAGCGCCGCCGCCGCGTTGGGCCACGACCGCTGCCAGCTGGAGCCCCGCCGAGACGAGCTCTCGAGCCAGAGTGGCCGCGAAGGGGAGGAGGACAATAGACACCTACCATGCATCAAAAACAACGCGGATACTTGTTTCGCCGTTCTCGGCATCTGGAGGCCCTTGCCAGGCCCCAAGACCATTCACAAGAACACACACGATGAATAACGGTCCCAGGGAAGAGGTTCACACCTCTGGGCGAAATCACGACGTCGGGCGTCCGGGGAGGAGGAGGACGGAGGAAGAAGGAAGGAGGAAGGAGGAAGGAGGAAGGAAGGAGGGAGGAGGAGGAGGAGGAGGAGGAGGAGAAGGAGGAGGAGGAGGAGGAGGAGGAGAAGGAGGAGGAGGAGGAGGAGGAGGAGAAGGAGGAGGGGGGAGGAGGAGGAGGAGAGAAGATGAGGAGAGAAGAGGATGAGGAACACCACAAGCAATGCCCTCGCGCAGCGCTTCCCTGTTGCCAGCAGCACCCCGCAGAAGATGAACAGACACGAGCAGGCATGCAAGTGCACTGTGGACATCAGCCATGGCGCTCTGACAAATCTTGCCTGGCCAAGGGCCCAGACCTGTGCAGCTGTGTGTAGCGAAGGGCGTTGCCCTCATCTGATATGATACGTGCCGCGGGGCAGTGCGGATAGCAAGGGGCTGCAGAGCAGGCTCGCGTCAGCGCGCCGATGGTCGCGTGCTTCTGCGTGCGGCTGCACCCGCTGAGGCCGTAGGTGGGGCTCCCCGCGTGGCACGTGCGACGAGATAGGCGCGGGCCCGCATGCGAACGCACTCACCGGAGCTGCAGCTGGAGCCCCTCATGGGGCCGCGGTCAGCGCGAGTGGGCGTCACGTGATGGGCGCGAGCCTGCATGCGTCTGCACCCACTGGCTCTAGCCATAGGTGGAGCCTGTCATGGGGCCACTGTGCGCTCGAGCGGTGTGCCGAGAGATGGGCGCGGGCCCCACCGCGTGCGGCTGCGTGCGCCGCAGGGCCTGCCCACAGCAGAGGGGTGCGGAGCAGGCGCGCGCGAGCGCACTGAACCTCCAGTGGGGCCACCATCCGCGCGAGAGGTGCGCCGAGATGGAAGCCGGGCCCGCATGCGAACACGCCTACTGAAGCCGCAGTTGGATGCCCTCATAGGGGACACGATCGGCTTGAGCTGTCTACCAAGGGGGGCGCATGCACGCATGAGCTTGCGCGCACTGAGACAACAGGTGGAACTCCTCATGGAGCCTCTACGTGCGTGAACGGTGTGCCGACATTGGTGTGGGCCTGTATGCGCCTGCGCCAGCCGAGATCTTGGGTAAAACTCCCAGTGGGGCCTCAATCTGCGTAAGGGGTGCCAAAAAAGTGTGGCCCCCCACGCGGTTGGTTGCAGGGGGGAGAGTCGTGTGGGCCCACATGCGTCTACGTCCACTGAGGCTGTAGGTGACGATTCGTATGGGGCCACAACCTGAATGAGGACCGAACTGGATGCGGGCCCGCATGAGTCTGCGCACGCTGAGACCGTAGGTGTGCCTCCCTATGCGGCTACGTTTTGCGAGAACGGTGCGCCGAGGCGTGCCGACATTAACATGTTGAGAGCAGAGGCAGGGATATGAGAAGGAAAAAGAAAGGGAGGGAGAGGTTGTAAGGCAGGAGGCGCGTCGCGCTGCGGAATCCAAACGAGGACCCAGCTCCACAATGGGCTTGGGAATCAATTCCGCTACGGCCAACGAGCATGAGGCGAGGATGCGGGAAATTGGTTCCACACTCTGGCTCAAGATCGTCGAAGAGGGACCGCAAATCTCCAGCAGCGTTCACGTCCACAGCCTCATTCTGCGCAATGAACTTTTCTACCTCGGGATGACGGGGAGAATGCGAACGTTCCTGCGCTCTGTCCTGCACATAAGTCCAACTGTGGGGCACGCGGTGCGCACGCAACTCACGATCAATCCTCCATTTCGAGATCCACTTCCCTGCGTTCCCCTGGCCTGCTCTCGCCTGCTCTCCTCCGACCTCTCCGTCCCCTTATCATACGGTGAGAGCATTGGATTAGGAACCATTGGAGAAGGAATCCAGGTTCTGGAAGCTGGTGGAACTCCAATCGTGGATTAGCCATGGGCATCACTGCCGCCCTCATCGGATAAGGGACTCCCCAGGGTCCGAAGCCTCTTGGGCACATTCCTGAACCAACGCCCCCTCTCGTATCTACACCGTTCCATCTGTCCCCCTTCGCCTCTCGGCTTGCTCCGCAGGCAGGCGCGCTGGCACCCATCGCACGTCGGCACACACACACACACACACACACACACACACACACACACACACACACACACACACACCACGGTCGGCTGCTGCGCTGCTGGAGGCCGCCGTGCCGTCGGTCATTCGCACTCTCGCAAGGGAGAGACGCGCTGGAGTGCCCTGCTCTGCTGCAGGCGCACCTGGGGTGAGAGCCGATGGGGTCTCACATCTTGAGGCCGCTACGTCACAATCCACAAGGTCGCTTGCACGTGAAGGGTGTTGAATGTCCTGTTTGCTGGGCCAAGTCCGTTCCGCCCAGCTTCTGCTTGCGAGGGGGTCGCGGCTGTCCGAGCAAGCTGCCCGTTGCGCCCGCACTGTCCGCACTGGTTAGAGCGCAGGTGGGAGATGTGACCCCCGTCTTCGATCCATCCCCTCTGACGTCTCCTAGGCATGCGCCTGCTTCAGCAGTCCACACTCCCAGCCCTGCAGGACGCTCCCACACTGGCGCCAGCCATGCTCCTGGCCTGGGATGGCGCCTTATAGCTGATCTCTCGAAGCGCCCTCGAAGTCTTCGGGAGAGCATTGGCGCTCCCCTGGCGGCCCAGTGGTCCCTCCCTGGAAGCTGGAGGCCCCCTGGCGCCCCCCCTGCCATTGGTTTCCCCCTGGGTGTTCAAAGTGTGAGCCCGGAGGGCCCTGGGAGTTGCAGGGCCAACGTCTGCCCCATGCAGCAGCCCTCCAGGTTGCACCAGGAGGCTGGGAACTTCTTACGTCGCAGCGCGGCAGAAGCTTCGCACGCGCGTCTGGGAGAGAACGGGGCACGGAATCGCGAATTCACCCGCACGCAAGAGGAAGGAAAGAAGCGTGGAAGGCGGCCGCCGGGGGGGGAACCGGGCGCGAGGGCACTCTCACGCAGCGAGGCTGCGGCGAGCGCGCGGGGGCGGCCGGGCTGAAGGGCAGGATTCACACACAGCTGGATTCGCCTGTAGACTACGCGGAAGGCAGGTTGCAGGCCGGAAAGGCATGCGGCATGCAGAAGGCTGCGCGCGGCTGGCCGTGGAAGGGCCGAGCGCTGGAACGATATCTGGCCAGTGTCCGACTCCCGCCCAGATTGGCCGCGCCATGGTCTACTTCCTGGTATGCGACTAGAGATGGTGGCAAACTGCTCTCTTGCTCGGCGTTCTCACTGGCAGGGACGCAAGGGCCCCCGGCGGGACAGGAGGGGCCCTGCGCCTTTTCAAGGCAGCTCCAAAGATGGCCAGACGCCCTGGCCTGCCATATCCAGAGAAGGACGTACGCGCCGAAGTACGTACATGAATGAATATTCGAGCTATCCTCCTCCATCGTCTCCCCCCTCCTCCTACCTCTGCGTTTTCTCCTCCTCCTCCTGATCCCCGCTTATCCCAGTGAGCCACACACAAACATATGTTGGGCAGCATTGTAATCAAGCGGGGGTCCTTTCGGGCCTTTTCTGGCCCCCTTGTCCTCAACACGAAATTATTGAATTATGTATGTGCAACTTGTGTGGTAGAAACGATGCAGTGGAGCTACAACTCTCCAGCATTAAAGGACATTGCGCCCTCTTGAAGCTCAATTGGGGCTGCATGTGGCCCTCCTGGGCCGTCTTTGGGGCCAGAAGGAAACCCCAAGAGGCCCCCATAGGGCCACCAGAGGGCCTCAAGATGGCACCCAACGATATTATACCACGGGCTCTTGGTATGATATTGTTTGGGGCCCTTTCGGGCCCCTCTTGGGAACTCTTTTGGGCCCTTCTCGAAGCTCTCTTGGGGCTGTCGGGGACCCTCTCGGGTAATATTTGGGGCCGGCGGAAGTCCCGCAGAAAGACCCCGAAGCGGCTCTTGGTATGATACCGTTGTGGGCCCTTCTGGGCCCCTCTTGAGGGCCCTTTTGAACAATTATTGGAAATCTCTTGGGGTTGTCTGGGGGCCTCCCGCGCCGTCTCAAGAGCCCAACACGGGCCCCTAGAGGTCCCCCAGCGATGCCGCACCAGGGATCTTGCTACGTTAATATCGTTGGCGGCCCTCTTTGGGGGCCCTCACGGGAACATTTTTGGGCCCCTCTTGGAGCTCTCTTGGGTTGGGACCGCCCAGGGCCCAGCTGGGCCGTCTTTGGGGCCAGAGGACGACCCCAAGAATGCCAAAAAGGGCTTCGAGAGGGCCCTCAAGGCGGCCCCAAACGATATCATACCACGGGCCTTTGGTATGGTACCGTTGGGGACTCTTTTGGGCCCCTCTTGGGAACTCTTCTGGGCCCCTCTTGGAGCTGTCTTGGGGCTGTCCAGGGCCTTCTGGCCCGTCTTTGGGTTCGTGCGATTTCTCGGCGAACGCGATGGAAATCGTCAGTTCACCGGTCACCCGTTCCCCCGGCGGCATGTACATAGCCAGGGGGCAACTGGGGTATGCACATGAATTTCTTCGGGCATGCCAGAGGGGAGAAACAGTCACGTACATTGACAGCCCCACACAAGCCGAGGTACGCACCTGGAAAACAACGGACGCTTCCGAAACCAATCCCCCCCGCACTCACCAGCAAACGAGGCGCCAACGAGGCGCCCACAGGCGCCCACCAGGCGAAAACCCGGCGCTCCCATCAAGCGCACGGGGCGCCCGCAAGACGCCCTCACAAAACCCCGCCGTACCTCGCAGGCACGGCCAGACCTCCCCGCTCCTTCCAGCGCCCATCTTGCTTCCGGTATCCGACCTCCGCCCTAATCAACCCTCCATCCTCCTCACCTTATCAACATCGGCCTGACTATCTCTCTGCATTATCATTGGCCATCCTCCTCGTCTGTCTCCGCCCCTGTCTTCGCGATTCTCCGCCCAACAACTGTTCCTCTTCATCCTGCGCTTTCCGATCTTGCCTCCTCCCTTCCTTCCATTCACTCTGCTCCTCTGCCTGAATCCTCTCCTACCCTCCGCCGCCTCCTTTTTGCTCCTTGCTCAGGGTGCGCGCGGCCGGGCTGGCAGATCGAAATTCAACTGGTGACGTATCGTCGCTGGCATTCCATCCCACGCGCCTCCCCCCAACCCCCCGCGCGTCGTCCGAACGCTCCGCCTAAGAGAACGGGACGCAAATTTGAAGCCGCGGGCAAAGCGATTGTGCGAAAGAGCGAAGAAAGGGTTTTGAATCGAACAATTGCCAAAACGATCCTGACAAAAACTCCCTGGTGGACAAATAAGCCCAGCCAGCGCACAAACAGGGGAGGGACGCTGGAACGGAGGCGTCCAAACACATATGAGGTGCTGCAGGGGGTGAACTACAATGGCCTAGCAGGGCAAACAAATTTGGTGATAGCGCACGTCTTGAATCTCGGACTCGCATTGCGTACAAGCGTAAGCACCAGAGCACACACAATAAGGAACACCTTACAGGTATGCAGCAGTTGGCGCTGCAACAAAATCAGCGACCTGCACGATGAAAACGAATGAGGACACAATCCAGACACACCATCCTCCATTCGCGGTTTCGCATGATTATCGGGGAACTTTGATGGACACGCAACCGAACGATCGTCGGGGTGCTTTGATGGACACGCCACCGAACGCTCACGTGGCACTTGCAGACGATCCGTCCAAACCGTTTGAAAAAAAGCCGAGCCGAGCGGCGAGAGCTTCGACGCCGAGGCGCGATGCGATTCCCCATTTATCGCATGCTCCCGGGCTCGATGTCCCCAAAAAACCTCGAACATCATGCACGTAGACGTTCTTTTCCGCTCCTGCACACATTGGAGGGGTGGGTGGGGTGGGGGGGGGCGGACGTTGCTCTCGCTTCGGCAAGGCCGTGGCAGGGATGGCCTCTGCGCGGCTTCCCCGACGGCGAGAGGCGAAACTTCCAACCGAAGCCTGCGGAACCCCCCCGACGAGCCCTGGGGAAAACGAGGGCGGGCACTCGAGGCGGGCTCTTGCGTCCTAGTGACCGTCCCACGGAACACACTTTAGGTGGCAAATCATGGGAACCTACTTTAGCACTTGTGGTCTTCGCTTTGTGCTATTTAGAGCTGTCTGGTGCGACTTGGTGTTGCTCAGCCCGACGTGTGGTCCACCCACTGGCGGTTCATGTTGCGGCAATGCGCGAGTTTCGAGGCGCGCCCGCCGCTGGCCCACACCATCGCTGGCCCACGTACGGTACCCAAACGATCCTCTCTGAGAGGCGCGTTTGGTAACATTAGAACGGCTCCCCCGGGTGACTTGTGGATAGTAATTCCTTCCGAGAGCCTCATTGCCTTCAGCTGCCCCTCCCTGCGGCGCTAAGTGGCCAACATCCTCCTTCAGACCCCCAACCGCGACGATGGCCGAGCTGACTGGCTCCCTGACGAGCTCGTCCCTTGTGGACAAGCTGTCCTGCACACGACACCGGCGTCACAAGAGGAGCGGGAGGAGAATAGCAAACAAGCCTTGGCAGGTCAACGTCCAACACAGATGCCTGCACGCACGTCTCTGGGCACGGCGCCCACCCTGCGAGGCGAGCAGAAACACAAGAAGGTACCAATCCACTAGAACTACAATGACAACCAACACAACCCCTTCTCTGTCATGTGGCGGGTTCCAGAAACCCTGAACCCCCCAAAAATGTCTCCTCTTCGGGGTGCATGTTTTTCTTCCGCTGGCTTTCGTTGGCCCTCCGCCGGCTTCCGCTGGCAAAGCGGTAGCCTCGTTTAACTCCCACCGTCTTCCGCCAACCTGGGGGTGCATGTCTTCCTTCCCCTCGGCGGCTCCCGCTGGCGGTGCTATAGCCTCAATTTACCTTCGCCGTCTTCCGCAAGCCTTCCGCCCAGGAAGAGATGCCAACTCCTTGGGTTCTCGAGTGCGAAGACCTTTCTGGAGCGCGCCACGTGGATGCTCCCACCTAAGACCTATCAGAAGCGAGCGAGGGTTGACCCGTATCAGAAGGATGCACGATAAGGATGCAAGGGCCTTGGACGCCCGCTTCGGACTTTCGAGCGGGGCGCGGCCAACGAAAGTGGCAAAGGATGGACCGAGGAGGCAAGGCATGCGAGGATACCCTTTGGAAGACTGTCCATCCCTCTTGTGCGGGTTGACTGTACCCACGGAGTGGCCACGCCGTGCGGCCGAGAGGCCAGTCGGGGCGGCGAGCTCAGCTAAGTGCCGCGGAGCGGCCACCAGGACAAAAACACACGCACGGGAGATCGGAGAGGTGGCGATGCAGCAGCGAGGCAGGGGGGGACTACAGTCAATCCGTACCATAAGGATGCGCGATAAGGATGCAAGAGCCTTGGACGCCCATCTCGAAGTTGTTCAAGCGCGAGGCGGCGACGAACGAAACTGGCCAAGGATAGACCGAAAGGGCATGGATGCAAAGGTACCCTAGGGAATGTCGCTCAGACTTGTTCTGCGGGTTGGCTGTATCGCGTCGGGCAGAGAGCGAAGGGGCGAAGGGAGGGGGGGGGCATTTCAAGAAGGCTGGAGGGAGGGGGGCTGCTGCGAAACCCTGCATTTAGTGCGTGTGCGTACATACATATGCCCATGTACAAACAAACAAAACACAAGGTGCTCACGCTATCCACATGAACCTTAGAAAAATGACCCCCTCTTGCGTGCCGCCGACAGACGAAGGGACGGTGCGCGGAGCCATGAGTAGGCTCACGGGATAGGGAATCTTGCTCGGCAACAACAATCAAAGGGCGCTCTCGTCGTCCATATCTAACCTCCCACGGTGTTCCAGTTCTGGCCTGCGCCCCGAAGAATCTGGGGAATGCGCAATTCTCGCTGGGCACCTGCTGCCAGGACGGTTTCTAGCGTGACGCGCCCACTGCGCCGCCGTGCCGCAAGCCGACCCACCCCCCCATCGCGCCGAGAATGAGTGGGGCCCAGAGGCACACAAATAAACAGACACAGATCCCAGGCTTCCTCATACCTCCCCTCTTTCCTGGAAGTTCGTCTTCCCCTCCCCTCCCCATCTTTTCAATATTTTTTCCGGGGAATCGATGAATCTTTGCGTGTGCGTGCGCGGTCCACGACCACAGTGCGGGCCTCTGGTGGCCGTTCCGGACGATCCGGGCAACCCCGGCACGCCCTCGGCGAGCCGCAGCTGCTATGGAGGCGCCCCGGGGCTGGACGAAAGCCGAGGACCGACGAAAATGCGCGAAAACCTCGATCCTCGTCCTCCCTTACCTCCCCGGGCGTCGGCAAGTGCGCGGCCCAGCCCAGGGGGAGGGGAGGGGGGCCAGGGATGCATTGAAGTAGGAAGAGGCGCCATGAAATCTGGGGAGATATCATGGCTCCCTCCCCCGACTTAGTCATCGTTGGCGACGCGCACAAGGGGGCGGAGGGAGGGGGGAGGCCTTCTTAGGAGGCTTCTTCTTCGAAGGCGGCGGCCCTGTCTCTACAGATAAGGCCCAGGGGTGCTTCCAAGAAGCCCTCCCCCCTCCCCCCACCCCCCTCTGCGCGCGGCTGACATCGCCCCCCTCTTGGCCGCCCTCCCCCCCTGGCCGCGCCACCCTGGCCGCCGCGGGGCCGGGCCGGCGGTCGCCCGATCGGCTCCTGGCCCTGGCCGCCTCCCGCCGCAGGCGGAGTGCCGGCGGGGTCCTGCGGGGGCCGCTCCTGGCCGTCGTCTTTGCCGCCCGCCTGCGGCGGCGCCGCGGGGGCTACAGGCGGCAGCGGGCCCGCGCGGGGAGCGGCTCTCAGAAGGACTCCGCGCAAGAATCTCCGGAGGGTTCCCGAGGGGTGCCCTGGGATTCGCTGAACATTCCTGTGGGCTCCTTGGAAGTATCCTCCGGATGTGCGAAGGGTTCCTCAGGATTCCCTGCGGGTTCCATTGGGCCGGTTTTTCAGATGCGGGCAAGTTTACTGGCATTGCGGTCGCCCCCCACCCCCACCCCTCGCCCTCTTCAAACGAACACTAGGTTGGCGTTTTTTTATTCGGCGTTTCGACATTGGGTGGCATGGGGGGGGAGGCTGGGGGTCTGGCTCCAGACCTCTGCTTAGTGTGACTGTTCGCAAGAGTGCTGCCTCTGGCGGAGACTCCACCCACTCGAAGCAGGCGCCAAGAAACAGCCAAGATCTACTCCATGGGGGGGGAGGGGGGGAGGCGAGGGCCCGCGCCGATCGGCAAAACAATGAATAAGAAAACGATCTCTAGTGTGTCAGTGCCTGTCGACTTGTTTGATGTCCGCACGTGCAGATCGTTTGCGGCTTGCTTCAGGTTCAGGCCCCCCCCGCCCATGCAAAGAAACTTGCCGTTTTTGTTTGCAATGTTAAAAAGCTCATTGGAATTCCTTCGAGTGGGATTCCTCCGGAGACCCTTAACATTCTTCAGGGATCCAAGAGGTTCCCTGGGATCCCTTCGGATTCCTTGAGGTTCCTCAGCGTTCCCTAGGCAGGAGGAGGGGGTCCCAGGTTGGCGCTCATAAGGCTTCAGGGCGCGTGCGCGGACAAGGGAGGGCGGGGGAGCGAGGCAGCGGGCTGGAAGATGGGGGCGAGGCGGGGGGCCAAGGCATCTGGGAGATCAAGGCCCAGGCCATGTGATCTCCAAGTCCCCGTTGTCCCCCGCCACCTCTTCGACGCCCTGACGCCCTGCAAGCTGAGCGAGCTCTCTGCCAGTCTCCTGCTCGACGCCCCACATGGTCCATTCGAGTGTGGCTGACGGCTGGCAGCTCGGCGCGACGGTCGCGCGCAGCTCCAACGAAGGGGGCTCGGGGGCCGTGGACTGCACTGGCGGAGGCGCAGTGCATGCGCCGCGGGATCACAGAGGTCGGATGCACGGCCGCCATTACGATCGAGGCCAGTTGCCAATTGAGCAACTCTGCCCACTCCACTGCCCAGAGGCCCATGCATCGAGACCGATCGGCGGCTTCGCATGTGCCCATACACCCAGTAGCGTCAGCTCGGTGGCCAAGAGGGAAGCCACGGGGCCTCAGACGCCCCTAGGCCCTCGGCGCCCTGCAGCTGATAGGACTACATGAATATCCTGCACCAGCCCCGACTGCAGTGCCGCCCCGCCGCGCCTCATGCAACTAAAGCCTGTCGTAGCTAAAGCGCACAGCACAGATGCCAGGTTCGGCGGTCCAGTGTGCGCGCTCGTTTTCACTCGGCGAAACATGTAAAACAACACATATGGATCCATACCTGCTCCGATGTTCTGATCGCGTATGACGGCCAAATTTCTACGTCTCGGATGGTTGTTGACTGCCCCTCAGCGCGGACAAGGCAACCAGACGCCGAAAATTGGGACGGTAACAACTTCATGGAACGATTGGCTCAAAGCACGTTCTGGGAGTTCCAGAGTTTCGTCGAGCGGCCCTCGGCCCTTCGTACTCGGCCGGTCGTGTCTTGCCGCGCGGGGCAACAAGACAGCCTGGAACTCTTGGAGCGCATCTTTACCATTACTTTCTCTGGAAACTGGTGGCGCCAACAAACTTCCGTCCTGATTGGTTCAGGCCGCCGGAACCCTGGATAACTCACCGCACAAGTTTCGTGGCCCCGTAGGAACCTGCACCGAAGGCGAAAATCGGCAAAGGGCGCATGGCGTCCACGCCGCCCATTTTGGCCCACCGCTCACACGCTTAATAGCCCCGAGAATACGTCTTCACGGTGAATTAAGTCAACAGCGTCGTGTCGATAGCGTAGCGTCGACAGCGTCGTGTCGATAGCGTAGCGTCGACAGCGTAGTGTCGACAGCGTAGTGTCAACAGCGTAGTGTCAACAGCGTAGTGTCAACAGCGTAGTGTCAACAGCGCAGTGTCAACAGCATACTGCCAATCAACGGCGCAGCAAAAGCGTAGTGTCAACAGCGTAGTGTCAACCAATGGCGTACAATAGCGAAGTGTCAATAGCGTAGCGTCAACAGCGTAGTGTCAACCAACGGCGTAGCAACAGCATGATGTCAACAGCGTGGTGTCAACAGCGTAGTGTCAACAGTGTACTGTCCACCCACATCGTGCGCTGTCGACAGCGTATGGTTAGCTGCGCGAACCAACGGCATGGCGTGAAATATGAGCGTGCCGTCGACGCTTAACGTCTTAACGGTGCATCAAGTCAACAGCGTAGAGGCGATAGCGTAGTGTCAACAGCGTAGTGTCAACAGCGTAGCGTCAACAGCGCGCTGTCAACACCGTAATGTCAACAGCGTAAGCGTAGTGTCAACAGCGCAGTGTCAACAGCTTGAACCAACAACGTAGCAGAAAAGAACGTTGTAGCGTCGACAGGCAGCGTAATCTCAACAGCGTAGCGTCAACAGCGTAATGTAAACAGCGTAGCATTGTAGCACCAGCAGCGTAGTGTCAACAGCGCAGTGTCAACCAACGGCGTAGCAACAGCGTAGTGTCAACAGTGTAATGTCAACTGCGTAGTGTCAACAGCGTAGTGTCAACAGCGTAGTGTCAACATCGTAGTGTCAACAAGGTAGTGTCAACAACGTAAGGTCAACAGCGTAGTGTCAACAGAGTGCTGTCGACTGCGTAGTTTCAACAAGGTAATGCCAACAACGTAATGTCAGCAGCATGTACCAACAGCTTAACATGAAATAGCGTAGCGTCGACCAACAGCGTAGTGTCAACAGCGTACTGTCAACAGCGTAGCGTCGTAGTGTCAACAGAGTAGTGTCAGCAGCGCCGTGTTAACCAACTGCGCAGCAACAGCGAAGTTTCAACAGCATAGTGTCAACAGCGTAGTGTCAACAGTGTAGAGTTTACAGCTTAATGTCAACAACTTAGTGTCAACAGCGTAGTGTCTACAGCGTGGTATCGACAGCACAGTGTCAACAACGTAGTGTCAGCAGCGAAGTGTCAGCAGCGTAGTGTCAACAGCGTAGCGTCAACAACGTATTGTCAGGAGCATGAACCAACCGCGTAATAGGAAATGATGACGCAGCGCCGGCCAACAGCGTGATGTGAACAGCGTAGTGTCAACAGCGCACTTTAAAGCGTTGCGTCAACAACGTCGTGTCAACAGCGTAGTGTCAATCGCGGAGTGTCAACAACGCAATATCGACAACGCAATGTCAAACAACAACGAACTGTCGACCGCGTTTTCTCAGCCGTGAGCCAACGACATAACAAGGAATCGCAGCGCATCGTCGAACAACAGCGTAGTGTCAACAGCGTAGCGTCGACAACGTAGTGTTGACAGCGTAGTGTCAACAGCGTAGTGTCAGCAACAGGAGCCGACAGCGTATCGGAAAAAGAAATCGTAGCGTCGACCAACAGCGTGGTGTCAACAGCGTGGTGTCGACAGCGTAATGTCAACATCAACCAGCAGCGTCCACTTAATGCGGACAACGTAGTGTCAACAACGTAGTGTCGCAGATTAGTAGCGTACTGTCTCTCCTCTTAATGCGAGCACTGTAGTGTCAACAGCGTAGCGTCGCAGAGTAGAGGCATACTGTCTCTCCTCCGAATGCGAACAACGTTCTGTCAACAGCGTAGTGTCGCAGATTAGAGGCGTACTGTCTCTCCTCTTCATGCGATCAACGTAGTGTCAACAGCATAGTGTCGCAGATTAGAAGCGTACAGTCTGTCCTCTTATTGCGAACAACGTCGTGTCAACAACGTAGTGTCGCATATTCGAAGCGTACAGTCAGTCCTCTTATTGCGAAAATGTCGTGTCAACAGCGTAGTGTTAATGTACCTTGCGTCACATAGTGTCAACAGCGTAGTGTGAATCCACCCTGCGTTATGTAGTGTCAACAGCGTAGTGTTGATTTACCGTTCGAACTTTTAATTCGCTGTTAGGAGGTACCTTGAATAGCCCTATAAGCCACAGGGGGTTCCGCCGAAGGCCCCAGCTGCAGTGCGCGAGTGACAGCCCCTCGCCTGAGCGCAACCGAAAGCTAAAAGGCACATGGCGTACCCCCGCCCATGTCAGGACAACCCTCACAATTTGTGTGGTCCCAGAAGGGGGCTCTAACGAAGGCCTCACACGGACATGGCGCATGGCGACACCCCTCCCATGTCGGCAAGCCCCTTACACGCTTCGTGGCTCCGTAGGGGGATGCGACGCTCACAATTACATCTGGTCGGGTCCTTCGCAGAAATCTTTTTTTCCATGCGAGGGCCCTGGAAAATCTGGCTATCTCCCGAAGGGCGGTTCTTCATTCCGAGTCGTTCCGTGACGGTCCCGGGGCTCGGCAAGGGCCCCCAAAGGCCGAAAAAAAAAACAGCACGTCGCACCCACCAAAAACCCACTAACACATCCGCATAAAAAAAATAACTCGTTTCGCAAATACTCCATATGCCTTATTCATCTTCCCCCGGGTCTGGCTTTTTAAGGCGCCTTTTTCGTAACAGGGGGGGGGTCCGGTTTATTAGGGCGCTTTCTGTGAATTGGAGCTCAGGGGGGTCTGGTTCAATAAGGCGCCTTTCGGATATCGTTGTTCAGCCCTTTGATAAGCATAATTGTCATCAGCCTGGTGTGCCCGCAATGGTGAGGAATAAGTTGCGCTTCAAATGCAACCGCCTGAATGTTAATAAATCCTCTGGCGTGGTATGCTGCAAGAGGTCCTCCGCGGAACCTGAGGAATACGTTGCGTCTCACCTCGGTGTTAACAAATCCTCTGGTGTGCCCGCAATGGTGAAGAATAAATTGCGCTTCAAATGCAACCGCCTGGGTGTTCATAAATCCTCTGGCGTGGTATGCTGAGAACCGCATCGGTGTTAACATATCCACTGGCGTGCCCGCGCCGATGATGTAATTGTGCTGAAGGGGTCCGGAATATTAAGGCGACCTGTCGAAGAGGGGGGTCCGGAATATGAGGTCGCATTTCGAGGGGTGTCTGGTTTCTTAGGGGGGTCGATAAATAAGGCATATGGAGTACTCGCGTTGATAGGCTGCGCGCAGGACGCCCAAGAATCCGCGACGCGATGAGCCAAACGAAGTGTGAGACAAAAGGACAAACAGAATGTGGCACAAAAAGGCGAACAAAGTGTGACACGAAAAGACGCTCACCTGTAAACATTCAATGCGGGGCGGCCCGCGAGAAACCTCAATCCCGACGCTGCCTTGCTGCCATGTTGTCAACGGCTGGCCGGCGTAGCGTCCTGGCGCCCCAGTGGGAGGCGCCTCGGTGGAAGCGTGACAACCCCACGGTACGTCTATTCGTCGGCCGACGCATCTCGCCGACGAAGTTCGAGACCTGCTTGTTCTCTTGCGATCTTCCCGCTACCAGGGGGCCCCGGCCGTGACCCATGGTTCAAGACGCTGGAGGTCTGGGGGCCCGCCCTCCGGCGCGGCCTTCTCCTCGCTGGGAGTTTTTTTTTTTTTTTTTTTTTTTTTTTTTTTTTTTTTTTTACCCCAGCAAGATTACTTGCATGGACGGGGGGGGGGCTGAAGCTGAAGCAGGCCGCAGACGACTTGCACGTGCGGGAACCGCGCAAAAGTCGAAAGGCACTTGCACGCTAGTTTTCGTGTGAGGAGGGGCAAAGGGGGGTGGGGGGGGGAACGCCACGCAGGCAACCTTGCCTGATTCCTCCCTCCGGCGCGGCCTTCTCCTCGCCGCCGCCCGGCGCCGCGGCCTTCTCCTCGCCGCCGGCCGCACCGCCCTCTGGTGCGGCCTTCTCCTCGCCGCCGTCGGCGGCGCCGCTCATGGCGGCCGAGCGGGCGGCGGCGCGGCGGCGACGGGGCGGGGTGCGGCAAAACTTTGGCTGCGTGGGCGGGCAGACGAGCCAGGCCTTTCCACGTGCAGCCAGGAGGCAAGATCAGCGGCCTCCCAGAGCGGCTCCGAGTCCAAGGATCGCGCCGCATCGCCAAGGCATCGCCGCGGCATCGCCACTGCATCGCCACTGCATCGCCACTGCATCGGCGATGCATCGGCGACGTCGGCGACGCATCGGCGCCATTGGCGCGGACAAGTTCTGGGTCCACATAGAGCCGCATCGCCGATGCATCGGCGATTCGGCGCGATCCCCCCACCTTCAAGGAGGGGGAGGGGGAGAAGGAGGAGGAGGAGGAGGAGGAGGAGGAGAACGAGGAGGAGGAAGAGGAGGAGGAGGAGGCGGTGGCGGCGAAACGGTGATGAGCCGATGGTCGAAGTCTCGCCCTTCCCCGCATTCCGACTGATCTCGGAATCGAGCGACCCACCGTGCGGAGGAGGAGGGGGAGGAGGACGAGGAGGGAGGACGAGGGGGATGAGGGGGAGGAGGAGGAGAAGGGAGGCCTAGGGTCGCGCCTAGAAAGATGCGCGTGGGGGCACAGGCATCAGGCGGCTAAAAAAAGACGAGGCGGACGACGTTTCCACCTGTTGGGCCTTCGGAGACTGGTATCTTGTCTAGGACGATCGAAGAACAACTCGGGATGAAAAGCTGGTCATGGGGAGCTGGCCGAGAGGTCTGGCAGCCCCTGTCTCGGACTAAACAGGAGCCGCCTGATGTCTTGGGCCGTATGCGAGGGTATTCTCGTTTCCGCTTGGCCGACTCCAGGAACCCTGAATCCTTACATGTTGACGCTTCACCCTTACTTTCGCTGCCTTTCGCCCAGCTTCCGCTGGCGGAACCACCGCTGTCTTGCTTCCGCACACGTCCGCCGGCGTCCGCCGACGGCGAAGGATGTGCCAAAGGCGAGGCTCGATCTGGAGCGCGCCACGTGGTGTTCGGACAGCGGACGCGGCACGGGATCCGAAAAGTCCTCCGGATGGAGCAAATTTTCATGCGCGGTCAGAACGGGCGTTACTGGGGGGGCGGGGGGGGACGAGACCACCCGAGCGCCAGACGACGACGATGATGACGACGACGACGACGACGACGAGGACGACGAGAAAAGGAAGACGACGGCGATGATGACGACGATGACGACGACGACGTCGACAACAACGATGACTAGGACAGGGACGAGGCCGAGGACGCCGACGAGGACGAGGACGAAGACGGATGCCTCTGAAGGTACCCGGAGGTTTCTGGAGGCCGCACGAAGTCTCCAGAGACTTCTGGAGGCGTCGGGAGGCCTTATGAGGCCCTCGACGGCGACGACGAGGAAGAGGACGAGGACGAGGACGGGGACGAAGAGGACGACGAGGACGACGACACGGACGAGGACGAGGAAGGGGATGGGAAGGACGAGGACGACGACACAAGCGACGACCACGACGACGACGCCGACGCTGACGACGACGACGGCAACAAGGACGATATCAACATCGACGACGAGGACAAGGACGAGGACGAGGACGGGGACGAGCACGACGACGTCGACGACGACGCCGACGACGACAACGACAACGACAACGACAACGACAATGACGACGACGACGACGGCCACCTCTGAAGTTCTACAAAGGTTCCCCAGGGCCTTAGGAGATCCCTGGAGGCCTCTGGAAGCATCTGCAGGCCCTGCGAGGCCCTCGGACACGACGACGAACGTTCAAGTAGTCTGCAAGCACCACGGTCGCCTACGAGCATCACAACGGCGATGCCAGAGGCGCACTATCGGGGGGAGGGGGGGAGCGTTACGTTATTCGGCGGCGACCGGGGGGGGGGAGGGAAAGTGAGAAGGAGAAGGGGAGAAGGCCTTCTCAGAAGGCGGCGGGACTTCTCATAAACCCTCGCACCTTCGGAAAAGTTTTCCGTGCCGTCGGGGAAAGCTTAGAAATCTTCTCAGAAGGCCAGGGGACTTCCGAGCCTTCTGAGAAGGCCTTCTCCTTCTCACTCCCCCCCCCCCCGCGGGGGCATAACGCGCGTTGCGGCCCAGAGAGTTAACAAAAACACGATCATGCTTCCACATGCCGTCCAGCGCTCTCCTGATTCTGTCTGATGCAGGGGCGCGCTGCTCGGAACCGTGGGACCATGCGAGACTCCCAGAGATCCAACGTGCTGAAACAAATCGAGGCGGAAATTGTTCGCAACGTTCGGCCTCTGGGAGCTCTCGCCGGGCCCCGGGATTCTCAGCAAAAACGATTCAGGATGAAGAACCAGTGCTGGGGAATGGGTCGAGACTTCCAGGGACCCCGTTTAAAAAATCGCGACATCGGATCTATGGGCTTGCAACGCCATCCCCCTCCTCCCCGTCCCCCACCCTCCTCCATCCACCTTCCCCTTGGGGGCAGCTCTTCGTCCTGGACGCGTGTTGATGGGTCTGGGGCCCGAGAGCGGCTTCACGAGGCCGAAAGAAAGTTGTCGAGATTGAGAACATCCATCCGAAGGAGGTCTGGCCTCCAAACGTTGCAGGATGTACGCCTAGGAAACGGGCTCAGGACCACAAGCCTCTCCCCACAGGCAAGTTTACTTGCGTGGCGTTCGCCCCCCCCCCCCCCCCCCGGCCCCTCGCCCCTCTTCGAACGAACACCAGCGTGCAAGCGCCTTTCGACTTAAGTGATTTCCGCACGTGCAAATCGTTTGCGGATTGCGTCAAGCTCAGGCCCCCCCCCCTCCGTCCATGCAACAAAACTTGCTGGAGTCTACAGAGAAAGAGGCTCTTTTGCTAGTGACGACGTGTGGCGTCTGGGTCAGGATCCGGGTCGGACGGAAGGGGGGGATAGCAAAGAAGGGATTAGCGGATCAGCCTACGCAGCTGATGTCTCTGGCGCCTCCCCGGCACCTGAGGCGCCCATGTATCAAGGAGAGCGCCCACCGCTGTGCCGAACCAGCTGCACGTAGTTAGTTTCGTACCCATCCCCCCATTTCATCAAAAATGCCCCAATTTCCCGGCGGCACGACCAAGGGGGGAAGTCAGGGGGGCGGGCCTTCTCAGAAGGCTCGGAAGCCCTGCGGCCTTCTGAGAAGGACCCCGCCCAAGATCCCTCTGATGCTCTGAGCACTTACAAAATCGTGAATAGCGACCCGATCCTCGAAGCTCGACCCTCTGTCAGGAGCTGGCGGTCCCCATTTAACGTGGGATTACAGCAGAAAAAACACACGGGAAGGATCATAACAGAACATGGATTTGTCTCTGGGTCAGATTTTTGAACGATGGACCAACCTTTCTATGACGGCGATGACGCCCACGATCAGACCCAGAACACAACTTCATAATTGTCTCCCATGGCGCTGCTCAGGTGGCGACATCGAACCTGACTCGCACCCACCATCGATTCTCCTGAATCGATGGGGGGCGGGGGTAGGGTTTGGAGTTCGCCACGTGTTCGACAGATTGAACCCCATCCCCGCCGCCCATCGAGTTGCCTGAGTCGTTGATCGGCGAGGGTAGGGTTCGGATTTCGCCGCAGAAGACGGCTACCCCAGGTAGTGCCAAGGGGGGTCACCACTGGGGGGGGGTCGTCTCCTCCTTTCGCGGACACTGACCCCTTGGATTCAGGACCCCAACGAGCGACCAAGAGCCCCCAAAAATCTCAGCGACTCTCGATGCTCTCCTTCCCCCCTCGATCCTCGATCTCCAAAAGCAGGCGGTGATCCCCCCAGCGGCGACCCCTCTCTGGCACTGCCCGCGCACTGCTGGACCGCCATGCGGCAAAACGCGCCCTTTCTATGGGACATCCACCCAAGGCGGGCGCAGGCCCGCCAAAACAAATCGCGGACGCCACGCCCTATGTCGACAACCGAAGCAGGACGTTTCGCTAAACGAATAGGCATCGTGGGGCTCGCGTCGGTCCCCGACGTATCGAAGAGCAGACATCGAGGGCAGAACATCCATCGCCATAGTAATCACCCCGACACGCGAAGCCGTTTAGCAAACGCACCCACATAAGGAATCGAACAGGGCAGGGCTGTTTAGTGAACGCCCAAGGCCGTTAAACGCCAATTATCGGGTCCGGGTGGCTTTCCTCCCCGATCAGGATGTTAAGGGCCTTGGAAGGCCATGTCGACACAATCGATGCCATCATCGATGCATCCGCGCCGCCACCGGGAAGACAATCAGGCTACACCTCGAGCCGCCCCGCCGATGCATCGGCGATGCGGCGCGACCCTCCGACGCCATCTGCTCGCAACTCATTCGGGAGGCCTAGTTCTGCGGCACCTCACGGGGGCCTCCCATGTCTTCTTGCTGGCTCTTGCGAACTGACACTATCCGATGCTAGTCGACGCTAATCGGCGCTACTCGACGCCAAATCGACGCTAGTCAACGCTAAATCTGCGCGTCCTCACCGCTTGCCAGACGCTATCGCATGCGAGTGCACTCTAAGGACGGAGTTCCGCGCGGATTTCCTGCATCGGCGCTGGACCCCCTCCATGGCGCGCGGAGCGCGCTAGGGGCGGCGCTGGAGGCGCCGCCAAGGAGTTCCAGCGCAGATCCAAAAAATCCGAGCGGAGCTCCCAACGCTGATACCGACAGGACCTAGAGTCAACTCGTATCATAAGGACGCACGCAAGGACGCAAGGGCCTCGGAAGGCCATGTCGACACTTTGCGGGCGGAGCGCGGCCAGCGAAAGCGGCCGAGGATGGCCGAATGGGGACGGATGCAAGGATGACCTTGGAAAGTCGCTCATTCTAACGATGCGGGTTGACTATATGCTGTTTTCTTTTCCTGCGCATGTGTTTATTCGCGGTCATAACAAGCGTTATTGGGGAAGAGAGTGTGGGGGGGGAACGGGAAGGGGCACAACGTAGCCCTCCCCCAGACTGTGGTGCCGGACGTACTGCGGCAGAGCCGGGCGTCATGGCCTAAAGGGTAAACACCACGCTCTCGAGTCTGCTCGCAGCCCCTTCCTTTGAGGAGAACAGTGGCCGTGCTGGGCGGAAGGGATTGGGCTTGAGAAGGGTATGAGCAATAGCACCCGGATGCC